AAAAAAAAAAAAAAAGAGGGGCTCCTGGGTGGCTCAGATGATTAAACGTCTGTCTTCGGCTCAGGTCATGATCCCAGGGTCCTGGAATCAAGCCCCACATCAGGCTTCCTGCTTGGCGGGAAGCCTGCTTCTCCCTCTCCCTCTGCTGCTCCCCCTGCTGGCGCTCTTTCCCTCTCTCTTTCTCTCAAATAAATAAATAAATAAATAAATAAAATCTTTTTTTAAAAAAGACAAATAGCCCAATAAGAAATGGGTAAGGGATCTGAGAAGACATTTCTTCACAGAGTTATACAAATGGCCAATAGATACATGAAAACATGCTTGATCATTGGTCATCTGGGACCATGCAAATTAAAACAGTCTCAAGGGGTGCCTGGCTGGCTCAGTTGGTAGGGCACATGACTCTTGATCTCAAGGTCGTGAGTTCAAGCCCCATGCTGGGTGTGGAGCCTACTTAAAAAAACAAAAACCAGACTCAAGTTACTTCACACCCCACTAGGATGGCTATAATCAAAAACGTCAGATAATAACAAGTGTCAGCAAGGATGTAGAGAAACGGGAACCCTCATATACTGCTGGTGAGGATGTAAAATGGTGCAGCCACTATGGAAACCAGTTCAGCAGTTCCTTAAGCAGTTAAACAAAGAGTTACTATATGACCCAGCTATTCCATTCATTGGAATGTGATAAATCCCTTGCATTCATTACATTTTTATGCAAGAAAAATAAAAACATATGTCCGCAGAAAAACTTGTACACAAATGTCCATAACAGCATTATACATAGTAGCTAGAGAACAGAAATGACCCAAATGCCAATCACCTGATGAATGGGTAAATAAATGTGATGTGGCATAGCCATACAATGAAATAGTATTTGGCAATAAAAAGCAATGAACTACTCCTACACAGTACTACATGGAAGAACCTTGAAAACATGCTAAGTGAAAGAAGTCAGATACAAAAGACCACATGTTACATGATTCCACTTACATGAAATGTCCAGAATAGGCAAATCTATATATAGAGAAAGTAGATTTGTGGTTGTTTATGCTGGGGGTGGGGAGGTGGGAAGGGACTGGGGGGGGTGTTAGCTAAAGGATATGGGGTTACTTTCAAGGTGATGAGAATGTTATGAAATTGACTGTTGGTGTTACACAGATCTGTGAATATAGTAGAAACCATTGAATTGTCTGCTTTAAACGGGTGACTTGTATGGTATGTGAATTATACCTAATAAAGCTGTTCTTCTAAAAAATCAAGTTCAAGACCTAAACAAGAAATTAAAAGGGGTGAGATCAAGGTGGGGCAGCCTGATAGCGAGAGCAGAACTGTGCAAAGGAGCTCCACTGTGAAAGGGAGAGAGAACCCTTGGGAGACGGATGAGGGGTTGACAGGAGGGGTTTTAGTGTTCAAGAGCCTGGGTCCAGAGCACAGGAGCCAAGAGGGCTTAACCACAGGCCGCAGATAGAACCTCATTCTAGAGCAGAGGTTCTCAAACTTCACAGTGGGAGGGTAGGTAGGAGCCTAACTGAGGTGGGCACCTTGTTCCAAGTTGCAAAAAGACGTCATGTCATAAAGATGGGAGAAGTTTGTTTTCCCTTGGCATAAAGCCTGTTAGCTAACACCGATGGTGACCCCAATTACCAGGTAAAGTTGGGATGAGCTACATGTGACAAATGGTTCTGTCAAGTCCCCTTCCCTGAGGACTAGTTGTTTATCTTTTCATTTATTTATTTTTTAGATTTATTCATTTGAGAGGGAGAGGGAGAGAGCTCGAGATCAGGGGGAGGGAGAAACAGACTTCCTGCTGAGCAGGGAGGACCCCCCCCCCCCCCGCCTCCGCACCCCACGTGGGGCTGGATCCCAGGCCTCTGGGATCATAACCTGAGCTGAAGGCAGCTGCTTAACCCACTGAGCCACCCAGGCGCCCCTAGTTATTGAACAGGTGTGTAATGGGTTCCGGCGGCTTGGCTAAGTAAGGGAGGGAGATTCTCTTCTGCCTTTGCAATCTCTTAGCCATTGCCTGTGATGTGCATCCCATTCTGGTTTGTGCTTGTTCAGTAACAAAAGTGCTTCCTTTCTCTACTACCTTTGTCAGGGAAAGCTCATAGATCTTTGTGGAGAGGGTTTCTGGATTGGAAGAAAATTTTGTTTTTTAAACAGTTCTCAAGCTTGAATCTGCTCTTCTGGGGTGCGCCCTTCTCCTAACGCAAGCTGCTTCATGGCGCTCTTTTCCACACTCAGCTTTCTCTTCCTTCACCTGCAGTAGTTTGAAGACCACACTTCTGCGGGGAGTTTCCTCCCAACTGTGGGCTTGGGCTGGCTTCCCGCACGTGGGCCCTTAGGCAAACTGCCCCTTTAAGAGCCCCCCCCACCCCAGCTCCTCCCTTAGGCCCGTGGCCGGATTTCCCCATCTGGGCCCCACCTTTTAAAGCCACGGCTCCATCTTTCTGGCTGGCGGTGTACACAAACCGGAGGACCCAGAGGGCCCTGGGTGCTGAGAGTGGGCACAAGTGGGCTGTGACAGGTGCATGTGGGATGTGGAACCACCGCCCGGGGCTCAGGAGGGACCCGGAGCTGAGACAGGGAGGATCCTGGGATGAAGCAGAGCCACTCACTCGGGAGTGGGCTGGACACGGCGCTCCGCTCGTTGGGCAGCCTCTGTGTGCCAGGCACCATGTCAGACCCTTTCTGTAGCTTCTGCAGGGCTATTATTATTCCCATTTTACAGATAGGGCAACGGAGCCCAGAGGAGCTAGCTACTTACCCAGGGCCCTACAGCTAACCAAGTGGCAGAGCCAGGGTCTGAACCCAGGTCAGTGGGACTCCAAAGCCTTGATGTCCTCTCCTCTGCATCACCTGCCTGACGGGTCCTGGCTTCCTCCCAGACTTCCTTTTTCCTTGGTTTCTTGTGTGGCAGAGTGGGGTTAAGGGGGGTGGGGAGAAATGGGTTATCCTCACCTCCCCCCAGTACCAGGACTTGGGTCCCTTCCTCTTCCCAGGAGCTGCTTGGAGATGCTGCTTCTCCTCCTCCTCCTCCTCCTCCTGCTGATGCTGCTGCTGCCCCTGGACATCCTCCGGCAGCGGCAGCCCCAGGATGCCCGGCTGTCCTGGCGTGCTGGCCTCCAGCGCCGTGTGGCAAGGGGGGCCCTGTGCTGGGCAGCTGCCTGGCAGCAGTGGAGACTAGAGCAGAGCACCCAGCGTGCAGGCCGGAGCCAGCAGCAGGCCCTGAGGTGGTGTCTGCAAGGAGCCCAAAGGCCCCGCGGTCCCCTCTGGAGGACCACAGGTGTGTTTCCAAGGGTTTGGGGAGGCAGCCCAAGCAGAAAAGCCACAGGAAATCAGATTCCAGAACCTAAGGACTTCCCTTCTCCCCTTCTGCTGCCAGCCCAGAGGGGCCCAACCCAAAGACCCTACCCAGGCTCAGGGTTGTTCAAGATGCATGTTCCATTCCTGGGCCCCAGGAGCCTTGCCCCAGGCCTATGCTGGGTTCCTTCCTCAAGGGTCTTACCAATCTTGCTTGAAACTCTTGGGCAACTTTGGCTTCAAGACAAGTTTATGATGTCTTTGGGGCTACAGATACAAACACCTTCCGGAACCATCTCCCTCTGACCAAGACCAGCCAGGCCCAGGAGGAAGAAAGTGGGGGGCAGCTCCTGCCCCCTATGTCAACCCAGTACTACGGGGAGGCCTCCCTGCAGGTAAACTGAGAAGGCTGGAGTCTAGCTCCACCAGAGACCCCTACTTGCAGCCCCACCCTCCCATTGGGGTGGGCAAAGAACCCCCAACCTGGGGGCTCAAAGACTCGCTCAGGCCCAGGGCCGACACCCTCTCTTGTCTCCCCTCCCAGGCCACCTTGCTGGGTCTGGCAGCCCTAAGCAAGGCCTACCCAGAAGTGCTGGCTCCGGGAGGCATTGCCTGTGTGACTCCTACATCCCCCTGGCCTCGCCCTCTCCCCTGGCCTTGGCATGCCCTGGGCCAGGTTGTTAGGGCCCCTGGGGCCAAGCACCCTGGGGCCCTCCTGCTAGAGGCACTGAGGTCCCCAGGGCTGCGAGCACTGGAAGCTGGGACAGCCGCCGAACTTCTGGATGTCTTTTCGGGCCTGGAGGCCGATGGTGAAGAGCTGGCTGAAGCAATGGCTGCCGGGAACCCAGGGCCGCCTCTCCCCAGGCGGGCGGCGGAGCTGCGGGAAGCCCTAGAGCTGGGGCCCCGAGGACTGGCGCTCCGACTCTGGCCAAAGCTACAGGTGGTGGTGACTCTGGACGCAGGAGGCCAGGCTGAGGCTGTGGCTGCCCTGGGGGCCTTGTGGTGCCAAGGGCTAGCCTTCTTCTCGCCCGCTTATGCCGCCTCTGGAGGTCAGCAGGACTCAGGGCCAGTGAGCTGGGGGCAGGGGTCAGAGGCCACACAGCTAGCTGCCAAGTAGTGAGCCCTACACAGTCACCTCATTTAATCCCCCCAACACCAGCAGGTCCATTTTACATGTGCAGAAACTGAGGCTCGTGGAGGTTACGAGGCTTGCACAGATTCACCCAGCACCAGCATTTACCCAAGGGTGTGCCGCCCCCAGAACCACTGCCTCTTCCCAATCAGGGCCTTAGAGGCAGTGCACAGAGCCTGCAGGAGCCGGGAAGGAGGGGTGGAAGCGCAGCAGTGGGATCAGTTGCTCAGAGAATCGGGACCTGGGGTCCAGGGTGAGGGGCTGTTCCCTAGCAGAAAGCAACAGCACCACCAGTGGAAGGGCTGCTTGCTCCCCACAGGGGTCGTGGGCCTGAACCTATGGCCAGAGCAACCCCATGGGCCCTACCTTCTGCCCCCTGGAGCTCCTTTTATCGAGCTGCTCCCAGTCAAGGAAGGAGCCCAAGAAGAGGCTGCCTCTACTGTCCTGCTGGCCGAGGCCCAGAAGGGCGAGGAGTACGAGCTGGTGGTGACCAACCACACCGGCCTCACCAGGTGAGCACCTGCCGACCCCCAGGTCACCTCAGGCCCTCTGTGACCCTACTGAGGGCCAGGGACATGAGCTAATGGGCCCTTGGGCTAAGCTCACCACCACCACTACCTTGTCAGGTGCCGCCTGGGTGACGTGGTACAGGTGGTTGGTGCCTACAATCAGTGTCCAGTCGTCAGGTTCGTCTGCAGGTAGGTGACTCCCCAGGGGAGCTGAGGGGCTGTCCTTGTGCCCTAGGCCCCTCTGCCTCTCCCTTCCTCCTCCCCAGGCTGGGCCAGGCCCTGAATGTGCGGGGAGAAGACATTCAAGAGGACGTGTTTTCTGAGGCCCTGGGCCGGGCCGTAGGGCAGTGGCCAGGGGCCAAACTGTTAGACCATAGCTGTGTGGAGAGCAGCATTCTGGGTAAGCTTCTCCATCAGCTCCTGCCCCTCCCCCCCGTTCCTGAGTTGGCTGCACGCCCCGCCCATACCATACCCATCCTGAAGGAAGAACTCTAGGAAAGAGGTAAGACCCAGCCTCTTCTGCCCCTCACAAAAGTCCTTCCCCATGTCTAACTCCCATCCCTCCTGCTGCAGTCTCTCCCCCTTTCCTTTCCTGACCTGTTTCATAGCAACAGTTAGGCTTTGGCTTCCTCCCCATTTACCCCCCTCTCTGCCAAGAAATTGCTTTTCTCCCGTGAACCTTGGAGTGGGGTAGGACAGGCCGGGGCACAGACATTGGTGTTGGAAGCTGTCCTGTTCACAAAAGTATGTGTGCCTGGGGGTTTGTCTACAGATTCCTCCGAGGGCTCTGCTCCCCACTATGAGGTGTTTGTGGCGCTAAGGGGGCTGAGGAACCTGTCAGAGGAAAATCGAGACAAGGTAAACAAGACAGGGACAGGATGGACTCCATGTCCCCTTCACTCTGCATGCCCCCAGGTGCCTGGGGCACAGCGTAGGGATGGGGAGGGGGGGGCGGGGAGGAAAAACTCCCCGGGGGCTCGGGGAGGGGAGAGATGAGGCCTACGGACACATGCGTATGCATGAAACACCTATCATGCACATGCTGACATCATCAGGCGCCCCACATCCACAGAGCCACACCCTAGCCTCACTCAGGCTGTTCTGTTCCCAGCTTGACCACTGCCTTCAGGAAGTCTCTCCCCGCTACAAGTCTCTGCGGTTCCGGGGCAGCGTGGGCCCTGCCAGAGTTCACCTGGTGGGGCATGGGGCCTTCAGAGAACTCCGGGCCGCCCTTGCAGCCTGCCCCTCGTCCCCCTTTCCTCCCGAGATGCCCCGGGTCCTCAGGCACAGGCATCTGGCCCAGTGTCTGCAGAGGAGGGTGTTGTCCTGAGCTGAGGCCTGCCCACTGGCCCATCCCCCTTCATAGGCCACCTCGCTCTTTCCTCTGAGGCCTCTCTGGATGAGAACCCTTGGCCAGGGTCTTCGACTCTGTTACCTGACAGTGGCTCATCAGAGCTGCCAGGCCCTAGGGAGGTCCAACCTAGTCAGCCCATGCTGAGCAGCTGACGTCAGCAGACGCCTGCAGGGGCCTGCCTGGAGCCCCGCAGCCCCCTCCGGAGGACACTGCTACAGTTCCCGAACACGCCGATGCTCCCGTGTCATCCAGCCCAGTGCACTGCGCAGGCTGCAAGTGTTGGCAGTTAATGCTCTTGGAAGCCACCCTCTGTCTACAAGAAACAGGAGTTGGAGAAAAAGACCCCAGCATCATTGTCCCTCAGTGCGACAATTCTGAAGTGTATTCTGCTCCAGTTGCCCACAATGATAACCCTCTCAATAACACAGTTCTTACTGGTTTTCCTTCCTTCCATCCCTCCCATCCCCACTCCCTTATCTGCTTTCTAGGATCATCTCCCAAATAAACTTCTTGCACCAGATTCTTGACTCAGGGCCTGCTTATGGAGAAACTGTAATAGTCCCATTTGCTCTGTTTCTGCGCCGCCTGGCTCCCCCTCCACCTTCAGCTCTGGATACCAGGGCTCTCCCCCCACTCCCCACTCCAGGTTGGGGTAGGCCCCAAGTGTGTGTGCACCTCTTTCCACTCCGAGCTGATCCAAAATGTGGAAGGACTGCTCTCTAACTTCCCTTGCCCTGGCTTAGCACAGGTCCCTGTCTGGCCCAACACCCACAAATCACTTTCCTGCGTAGGGGCTGTATTGCAAATCATGAAGTATCCCAACAGGGAGCAATCCCAGAGACCATGTGGCTTAATTGTCCATCTTACCCATGAGGAAACTGAAGCTTCATGAGGCTGTGAGGCTCACCCAAGGCCCCACAGCTCCTCCTAAGTAACATGGCCTAGTTCCCGATCAGTTGCTAAGTCTCCAATTCTGTCTCTGAATTACTTCAGAGATTACCCCATCCAAGCCACCCAGCCCCCCATCAGCCCCACGACTCCTTCCTGCTAAAACCTCCCATAGCTCCCCAGTGCTCACAGGATCGAGACCAATCAGCTGAGCCTGTAAGACCCTTTGACCCACCCTGGTCCTCACTTATCTGTCCAGCCACTTCTCCCCTATGAGGGAAGCCACAACTGTGACAACCACACCCTACTATCCCCCACGAGCTAAGCACTGTCACCTCCAAGTCTTTGCTCAACTTGTGCCTCCTGTGGAATGCCTTCTCCCTAAACTTACCTGATGGAAATCCACTTTGCATGCCAGGCCTTTTTGGGATCCTTTCTCCCACTGAGCTATCACTATGCCGGGTTGCCTCCCCACCTGGACTTTGGAGCTCCAGGAAAACTGGGCCAGGTCCAATGCACACTGGCCCTCCAGGGCCCAGTGTAGGGCCTGGCAAGGAGCAGGTGCTCAACAGACATTCCCCGTATCCAAGCGAGACTCTGGTTCCGAGCTGGCACAGTCCTTCCCAGGGTGGCTTGCTCTTGGCGACTCCATCCTCCACTCCAGGCAGCCTGACCAGGAAGGAAACTGGGCAGGTCAGAGGACAGCACCAGGTTTGGCTGCTTTCTTCCCCCTGCCCAGGTTCAATTTCCAAGATTTTCCACCTTGGAGGTTGGTGGAAGGAGCAGAGGGAAGGAGAGAGCGGGGCGGGGCGGGGGGTGGGGGAGAAGGGAGAGGTGGCTAAGAAGTCTTTTCCATGAAGGAAGAGGGCTGAGGAGCCTGGCAGACCCCAGGGACAGCAACAAGGAGCAGAAGGGGGAGGCCTTCTGCCTGCCTGCCCTCCCCCCACCACATACACCATGTGGGGTGTGGGGCTTACAGCTGCCTTCTCTCCTGCCCTAATTAGCAGCTGCCCAACCCCCTCATTGTCCCAGGCCAGTGCCCCAGCCAAGGCCTCCTTTGTGCTCCCAGATTCCTGGCTGCAAGGTGGCCTCATTAGTGCCAGGAGACCGGCCCATCTCCAGGGAGCAGGCGGATGGACAAAGGGGGCACCAGGGGCACAATGATCAAACTCCCGCTTCTGAGAGCCTTGGCGGCCATTCTTTGGGTCCAACCTGGAGACGGCCCCCCTGCAGGAGGCTAATCTTAGACTTGCCTTTGTCTGGCCCCAGAGTGGACGCAAGTACCCGTCTGTCCCCCACCACCTCAGAGCACTATAAACCCCGGGCTCTTGACTGGGGGTCACAGTCAACGGCCTCCGAGTTCCTGGCTATTCGGACCACTGCAGACACCTTTCCTGGCTACCCCACTCTGAGCTTCAGACACCATGAGCCCTCCCTCTACAAAGGTAAAGACCCAGGGAGAGAGGGGTGACTCATCATACCAGATGGGCAATGAGAATGCTTGCTCCAGGGGGGTGGGGGGGGCTGGAAAGAAGGCTGAGGTGTCTGCTCTTGGTCTTCTTCCATGTGGGCTCTGAGGCAGGGGACTGGGTGGAGCCTTGGCGCAGAGCCGGCCTGGGCTAGCACCGGACTGAGCGCCTTCTCCTGAGACCTCGGGGGTCTGTGTTTGCACCTGTCTCGTGTCCCTCTCCTGAAACCTGTCCTGTAGGAATTATTTAATACCCGTTCACAAGGGACGAAGTTGTGTCCCTTGAGAGGGTAGGAAACAGGTCCGAAGCGACAGAGTGCAGTTTCCCTGGCAAGGGAGCAGGCTGACAAGACAACTTGGAACCTGCCAGCCCTTGATTCGCACGTGTTTGTTCGGGGAGGGACTATACAGGGCCTCTGTTTCCCTGAGTGAACAAACTTCTGGCGCAGACAGACTCACACACCCTGTTTTCAGGTGGAGTGGTAAGCGCTTTAATGGGGGTACGAGGGACTAAGGGTACCCAGAAAAGAGGGATTCACCCTTACCAGGGGGGCCTCAAAGGGCTTCCTGGAGGAGATGCTGTGCTGGGGCTTGAGCAGGTAAAGGAGCCAGAGAGGAGCCCTCCTACACAGAAGCAGCATTGCGCAGCGGCCGGGAAACCCGCGGACTGCGAGGCAGGCGAGCAGGCGGGGAGAGGCGCGGAGCCAGCTGGGCGGGGCCTGGGCGTAGGGGGCTGGAGACGGGCACGGCGGGAAGACCCCCAGCGCCTGGCCTCGTGTCTCCCTAGGTCCCCTGGGCCGCCGTGACGCTGCTGCTGCTGCTGCTGGTGCTGCCGCCCGCGCTGCTGTCGCCCGGGGCGGCCGCGCAGCCCCTGCCGGACTGCTGCCGCCAGAAGACGTGCTCCTGCCGCCTCTACGAGCTGCTGCACGGCGCAGGCAACCACGCGGCCGGCATCCTCACCCTGGGCAAGCGGCGGCCCGGGCCCCCCGGCCTTCAGGGCCGGCTGCAGCGCCTCCTGCAGGCCAGCGGCAACCATGCGGCCGGCATCCTGACCATGGGCCGCCGCGCAGGCGCAGAGCCAGCGCCGCGGCCCTGCCCCGGGCGCCGGTGTCCCGCGGCAGCTGCCGCCCCCTCTGCAGCGCCTGGAGGGCGGTCCGGAGTCTGAGCCTTTGATCTTGCCCTGTTCTGGCCCTGCCCTCTCCTCGTTGTCCGCCCGGTGTCAGCCCTCAGGAAAAGGGCAATAAAGACGAGTCTCTTAATGTGGCCGGTCTCTGTTCTGTGTGGTCGCATCCCGTCCTGCAGGGGGCGTGAGAGTCCTTCGAACTATAAAGAGCCCGAGCGCCTAGAAGCCTGGCGCTGGGGCACTTCGGCTCTGGGGTCTTCGAACTCGAAACACAGAGCAAGGAATCGTGAGAGGAGGCCCCGTGGCACGGAGAGAACATGTGCATGCTTAGAGGGGAGGATGGGGGACAGACACGTCTCTCTCGATGCTCTACTAGTCATTCTGTATCTCGGCCTTTACAGACAGACAGGGAAGGGAGGGAGAGCAAGGAAGGTTGCACAGAGGAGCGGAGTCTGGCTGGGACGGGATAGGAGCCAAGCTTGCCCAAAAGGGCAAGAATATAAGGTTCCACATGAATCTTCCAGAATGGCTGCTGCATGGGGGTTGACGGTGTGGGGAGCGGTGGGGCGTCGGAGGGGGACACTGTCAGGTTCCTGCAGCCTGGATTTTGAAGGCCCTTGCAAATCATCAAGCTTTACATTTCATTCTGTAGGTACCTGGGAGTCAGGAGAAGTTCTTTTTTTTTTTTTTTTAAGATTTTATTTATTTATTTGAGAGAGAGAATGAGAGGGAGAGAGAGAGCACATGAGAGGGGGGAGGGTCAGAGGGAGAAGCAGACTCCCTGCTGAGCAGGGAGCCCAATGCGGGACTCGATCCTGGAACTCGAGGATCATGACCTGAGCCGAAGGCAGTCGCTTAACCAACTGAGCCACCCAGGCGCCCCAGGAGAAGTTCTTAATCAGAGATGGGGCAAGATTTTCCTGCAACTTTAGCTGAATGCACCCTCCACCCCCAATTCATACGTTGAAGTCCTAACCCCCAGCACTTCATAAAATGACCTTATGTAGAAATAGAGTCATTGTAGGTGTAAATAAGAGGAAGTCGTACTGGAGGAGAGTGGACCTCTAATCTGATATGACTAGTGTCCTTATAGAAAGGGGGAATTTGGACGCACAGAAACGCACACAGGGAAAAACCATGTGAACATAAAGACAGAGGTGGGGGTGATGCATCTATAGGCCAAGGAACACCAAAGATTTTCAGCAACACACCAGAAGCTAGAGGACAGGCATGGAACAGATTCTCCTTCACAGCCTTCAGAAGAAACCAACCCTATCTCCTCTTGATCTTGGACTTCTAGCCTCCAGAACTGAGACAATAAATTTCTGTTGTTTAAGCCAGTTTGTGGTACTTTGTTTAATAGCCCCAGGAAACTAATAAAACACCAAAAGTAGAGACACGGAAGGAAGTGGCACTTTTAAGCAATCTAACAGCCTAGATAATACCCAGCTCAGACTCTGGGGGTGAGGATGAGGGGCACCAGCCTGAGATGAGTACCAGCCTATCTTCCCATTCTCACTGGCTTTAGCTGCTTCGTTCTGGGAAGCAGCCACCCTATATCTGCCCCTATAATTTTCTGCTTTTGTAGTGAAAATATCCCATGTCTGGTGTCACGTGGGTCCTTCTTGTTGCTGCACTGGTTCCATCTTGGAAAAGATGGAGACCAAAGACTGGGCGCCTGGGTGGCTCAGTCGTTAAGCCTCTGCCTTTAGCTCGGGTCCTGATCCCAGGGTCCTGGGATCGAGTACCGCATCAGCTCCCTGCTCAATGGGGAGTCTGCTTCTCCCTCTGCCTCTGCCCCTCTTCCTGCTCATGCATTCTCTCTCTCTGTCAAATAAGTAAATAAAATCTTAAAAAAAAAAAAAAAAGACCATCAGTACACCTTTGGAGATTTGCAAACTGACTCTGCCCACCTTGAAACTATCTTTCTTGTCCCCCAGCTTGCCTCCAGCCTCCTTCCCCACTTGAATGGCAGCAGAGAGAAGGAGGGTTAAAGCCAGACTACAGGAAGAGAGAAATTGCTCTCCAACACACTTACTGTGTACCAAAAACATGCATGATGCTATTAAATTCTCACAACCGCATGAGGTGAAAATTATTAGCTCCATTTTACAGATAAGGAAAGTGAGGCTTTAAGAGGCTAAGTCACACAATCAGTGAGTAGCAGAACTGGCATTCTACCCCATGGACTCCAAAGCTCTTTTCGTTCACCCGGCTGCACTCTGAGGCAGAACTCGCTAGGGTGCCCTATCCAAAGTGAGGTACGATTGAGGGTTAAGCCATTCTAGAAGTTGAATTCCCAGCCTTCCTGCAGATCCTCCCACCAGCAAAACTAGTCTCTTTAACCCTTACTGTCACATACTGGAGCGCAGGAAACTGGGGTGCTGCGAAACATCCCAACTCCAGCAGGCGGCACTGTGAACCAAACACCATTCCCAGCGTGGGCGGTGCGTGGGGAAACCCGCAGGGCGGAGCCACAAGGAGTCGCCGGGGAACCACGCGTGGGGGCGTGGCCACCCCGGGAAGAGGGCGTGTCTACTACTCAAGCCCCGCCCCACCCCTTAGGTCTCGGCTCCAGGTGGGCGTGTCCCGAATTCTCTCTGGGAAAGACACGCGTGGGCCGCTCCCCTCTGGGAGGAGGGCCGCGGAGAAGGGTGAGGGTGTCGCTGGCGGCCCCTCCCCGTGCGGGCCACGTGGCGGGCGCGGGCCGAGCCCGGGGGGAAAGAACTTGGCCCGTGGGGAGGTGGGGGGACCGAGGCGGCGCCAGGCTGAGCCGAGAGCTGCGGGGTTCAGAGCAGAGAGGCAGCGGCGGCGGCGGCGCCGAGAGGAGGGGAGGAGGCAGGCGGGCGCATGGGGCGCCCCGGCCCCGCCAGCAGCGCGCCCCCTCCCTCCCCGCCGCGCTGAACGCCCCCCAGCGCCGCGCCTCAAACCCCAGCCCCGAGGCCATGCCGGTCATGAAGGGGTTGCTGGCCCCGCAAAACACCTTTCTGGACACCATCGCCACCCGCTTCGACGGCACGCGTGAGTGGGGCAAGGCTGGGGCTGGGTGTTCGAGCTGGGGCCAGGTCGGCTTCGGCGCCGGCGCGGGTCTACTGGATGTGGTGAGACCCGAGGCCGCGAGAGTGGAGTTGACGGTCTAGGAACTCCCGAAGCCGCGGCAAAGGAACAGGACTGGGAGAACACTGCGAAGGGAGGCGGGAAAAGGGCCAAGAGTGCGGGGGGCCAAGGTTAGGGGTGTGACTGGAGTCAGGAAAGGCTCTTCGAGCCGCAAAACGGAGGAGAGGCCTTGGCAGCCGCCCGCTCCCAGGCAGAGCTCTGTTGGGAGCGTGTGTGGGGGTATTCGAGACGCAGAGGTGGGACGAAGTGGTCAGACGCTCTGGAGTCTACTTCTAGAAGGCTCCAGCATCTCCTTCCCCCAGAAAAAAAAAAGAAAGAGAAAAAAGAAAGAAAGAAAAAGATCAGACTTCAGCAGCACCTAGCTTGGATTAAGGTCACGCGCCCCCAAATCTTGGCGCGTTTGTGTCTGAGGGAGGTGAGGCAGGCGTAGGGGGGTGGTCCTGTGACGGAGGGAACTCTCTGCTCGCCCACCCCCAGTTTGGATTCCAGGTTCAGCACCTTGGACAGCCACACTCCTTCCCAGCCTCTTCTCCCGCCTTTCTCTTTCCCTACTTTGGAGCAGAGAGATCTCCCCCTGCCCCCTTCGGGCACCCTGACCAATATCTGGAAAGTGGGGGGAGCGATACCCGCGGGCGGAAACCGAGCCGCCGGAGCCCTAGCCGCCTCCCCACTCTCCCCCCACAGACACCTCCCTTGTTTCCATAGCTCCCATCACCGGGGCAACAGGCCCTGGGATGGAAGAAGGAGGCTGCTGCCCAGGGCCCAGAGCTTCCCAGGCACCTTCAGTCCCCATCAGCCTCTCCACCCCCACACACTCACCCCTCTTAGCACCCAGCACTGGTTGTGTCTCAGGCCCCTTCCCTCAGCTGAGACTCTGCCCCTGGATGGCCCACAGAGCCCCCCTGTGGCTTCCACCCATTGGAGCCAGAGGAAGCCAACTCAGGTTCTGCTCCTGGGGTTGCTGGATTAAAAACTTCCTTGCCCAATATGCTGTCAGACTTTGAGCACTAGGACAGACCCCCTGAAATTGCCTAAAGAGATGCTAAAAAGAAGACCTTTCCTGGAAGGCAGAGAATGAGGACTCTACTAATCACTGTCTCCCTCCCCCAACAGAGGAGATTTGTGAGTTTGTATAATATCCGTCTTCTGGTTTCCTATCAATAAAATGGGTGTGATATCACCAGAATCTCTGCCCTGTCTACTGTCTGATAGGAGGACCAGATAGTGGCTATGCATGTGTTTTGAAAGCTGTGGGAACGTGGGGGAGTCGTTTTTAACTTCTCAGTATAGCGCTTAGTATGTGCCAGGCTTTGTTCTCCCCAGGTAACTCACTTTCACAAACAGTCATGTGAGGAAGATATATTATGCCCCACTTTGCAGATAAGAAAGCGGAGGCAGAAAAGAACTCATTAACCCTTGTCCAAGGTTACAGTGGGAAAGTGGCAGAGGTGTCATGCTGGAGCCCATGCCCTTACTACTATAGCTCCCCTGTAATAGCTCACCAGCTTGAAGGCAGGGGGAAGGACCACATGACCCAGTGGTCCCTGTCCTGGTTCTAGGCCATCCTTAAGTCCTTGTCCTTTTGCTCTATCTCTTCTTACTCTCATTTCAGAATAGTCCAAAGGGGATCCAGTAATCACATGGAAGCCTGGGAACCTTCTGGCTCTGTGACCTCTGACCACAGCTTGGGGGAGGTACTGCCCACCTTGAAGCTAAGCTCCCCTCCTGGCCTTGACCTAACCTTGACCTCTTCTTCCCACAGACAGCAACTTCCTGCTGGCCAACGCACAGGGCCCACGGGGCTTTCCCATTGTCTACTGCTCTGACGGATTCTGCGAGCTCACAGGCTACGGCCGCACTGAGGTCATGCAGAAAACCTGCAGCTGCCGTTTCCTCTATGGTCCAGAGACCAGTGAGCCAGCCCTGCAGAGGCTGCACAAGGCCCTGGAGGGCCATCAGGAGCACCGGGCTGAAATCTGCTTCTACCGAAAGGATGGTAAGGGGGCCTGGCCCGCCCTGCAGGCCTGCACAGATCCTGGGCCATACGCAGAGTCCACCTGGCACGGTGGAAGCCTGAGTGCTGGTCCCCACACTGCCACAAGCTGACTATGACACTGAGTGCATCCCTGATCCTCTCTAGGCCTTGCTTCTCCCATCGGGAAGGGAAGGAGTCAGCTGACATAATCTCTGGGGTTCTTTCCATTTCTAAACCTTTGCCAAGCCCTTTGACCATGCCCAAGAACCTTGTGTGATAAAGGGGACAGGGATGCCGTGGGCTGCTCACCCTCTCCTTCTGTATCTCTACATCTACAGGCTCGGCTTTTTGGTGCCTCTTGGACATGATGCCCATTAAGAATGAGATGGGAGAAGTCGTGCTTTTCCTCTTTTCCTTCAAAGACATCACTCAGAGTGGAGGCCCAGGACTTGGCTCCCCAGGAGGCCATGGGGACAGTAATCATGGTAACTGCAGGTCTGGGGAGGAAGCATGAATGGTCAGAGGTTCTTGCTGAAGGTCACACAAGACATCTCCTTACCCGGTCTCGTGGGATGTGCCCCCACTTATCTCTGCACCCTTCTTCCCAACAGAAAACTCCCTTAGCAGGAGGGGAGCCGGCTCGAGACTCCGATCTGCCAGGAGGCAGAGCCGTACTGTCCTACACCGGCTGACTGGCCACTTTGGCCGCCGGCGCCAAGGAGGCATGAAAACCAATAATGTGAGTCCTATCTCCACCCCAACATCTCCCAGCTGTGATTCTGAGGCGCCCTTGCTAATGTCTCCCCGCCTGTCTGATCTCCCTCCAGTGGCTTGTTCCTCTGTCCACCCGTTTCTCATGTGCAACTCTCTGTTGTGTCCCATGTGCCTTCACATCTTCTTCCAACCCCATCTCCCCTGCTTCCTTACGATTGACATTACTTTACTCTGACAATGTCATAAGGGCAGGGATCTAGCAGCAATTATATCACCTACCTCTGAATGATAGTGTTACCTCATGGGGGGGGGTGAAATCACAAACTGTGGTTCTAGGGAGAAAGCCCCCATTAGGGTCCTGGTATCCAGCCCTAGGACGCTGATAAAGCCACGGGATCAATTCTCCAACCCTCTGTGTAGTTTGTGGGGGCTACAGGGAATGGGGTGTGCTGTGCCAGCCTCCCTTCATCTCTGGGATATCCCCATCCCCCACAGGGACCCCAGATTCCAAGCAAAACTTGAGGGAGAAGTTAGTGACCCCTAGGTGGGGGGAGGTCTAAGGCATGTGCCTGATTTGTCATAATCTCCTTCTCAAGCAGGGTGAAGGTCAAGCCTTATACCTCCCACAAAACATGATTGATCAAAAGGGGGCCCGAGCAGTAGACTGGCAGAGGAAGGAAGTGTCAGGCGCCAGCCCCTGAACCCCCTTCCCGCACCTTCTATCTCCTCTTGTGGTCATGCCTGCAGCTCCCACTCCCCCCTTCCCCCTCCCCTGCCTCTCCCTTCCCTAAGCTTTGGCTCCCCTTTCCCTTAAATGTCCCCAACCGCCACCCCTCTCCCCCTAGAACGTGTTTGAGCCAAAGCCATCAGTGCCCGAGTACAAGGTGGCCTCCGTGGGGGGGTCCCGCTGCCTCCTCCTCCACTACAGCGTCCCCAAGGCCGTGTGGGACGGCCTCATCCTCCTCGCCACCTTCTACGTTGCGGTCACCGTCCCCTACAATGTCTGCTTCCTGGGCGATGATGACACCCCCATCACTTCCCGACACACCCTTGTCAGCGACATTGCCGTGGAGATGCTCTTCATCCTGGGTCAGACCCTCTGCCCCACATGCCCTGGCGGGTGGGCTGGGGGGACCCACTCATCCAAGCTTTGCTCCATCCTGAGCCTGCAGGATCCAGGCATTCAGAGCCCAACCATTTCTGGGTCTTTAAGTCATAATGGTACAAATGCCCTGAGCCCCAAGCCCTGCTGCCTTTAGACCACTCCTCCCTAAAGAGCAGCCAGAAGCCCAATCTGTCTTCCCCATTCCTGCCTCCAAACCCATTCTGGGTCTCAGGCTTATTCCCAGCTTGCTCAGTTCCTTGGTAAACCTAGTAACGAAACCCCCTAGTAACAGCCTCTTGCACCCCCAGATATCATCCTGAACTTCCGCACCACCTATGTGTCCCAGTCCGGCCAGGTGGTCTCTGCTCCTCGTTCCATTGGCCTTCACTACCTGGCCACCTGGTTCTTTGTTGACCTTATTGCTGCTCTGCCGTTTGACCTGCTTTATGTCTTCAACATCACCGTGGTGAGTGACCCCTGTCCCACCCGGCAGCCCAGCCTCCCAAATTCAGCGCAGCATCTCGCACTAAGGAAACCCCAACCCAGACTCAGCCCTTCCCATCCATCCATCTGCAAGTAGTCGTCAGGCCCCTGCTGTGGGCCGAGCCCCGTGCTAGCTGCTCAGAAGGAGCTGGGAGGGTCTGTGCTCTCGGGGAGCTCAGCTCACAATCACTGAGGGAAGCTGAAACAAATGAAAAGCTAACTAGGGCTACCAAGGCGGCGTTGGTCTGACGCCAAATGAGTGGTACTTTTCACATTTTTATTTAACAAACAACTGATGAGCATTTAGCTGTCTGCAAAGCACTGTGTGGAGCATGGTCACTGTGGGGGAAAGGGACAAGGATTCGGCCTCCAGGCAGCTAAGCTGGTGAGGGGGCAGGACTGTTGGAGGGGACAGCAGGAACAGAAGAGGTGAATGGAGAGGAAGATGGGGGCTGGGCACGGAGCTAGCTGATCTTGGAGTTCCAGGCAGGAAAGTGGGCATGCATGAAAATGATCTGATGATCTGAAATCTAGCCAGTGCCTGGGAGGCCAAGGCACCCCAGCTGGGACAAAAGCTCAGGTGGTCTGGGAAGGATTCTTGCAGGAGATAGAGCAGAGCTAGACCCTAGAACAGAAAGCAGGATTTGGCTGACAGGGGATGGGGAGAGAGCATCTGGGGGGAGCATAGTAAGCCAAGACATGGAAGTGGAGGCTGTGGGGTGGGTTTGGAGGCACAGAGTGCCAGGACCTGGGTCCTCCCATCTCTACGGGGACTGCCTGGAGGTGCCTTGGGTGGTCAGCTTTGCAGCCAGCCAGCAGATAGCAGGTGCTCTCTCAAGTCCAGGGTGAAGGAGTGCCACCCTGTGTCCCCAGACTCCCTTGGCTGTTGGGTGGGGAGGTGGAAAGAAGTTTCCCTGTGCGCTCCGCTCTCTGCCACACTCAGCTATAGCAGGAAACCACCTACACGCAGCCGGATTTAACTAGCCGCCGACGGGCTGTGGGCCCCTTCTCCTGCTCCTGGCTGCGCACACGGGTGTGCACGCTCCCACACACGTGCCTGTGTGTATGTCTGCCCTGAGCTCCGGCCACGCTGAGCAGAGCTACCCACCCCTCCCCGTGAGTGCACTCTCCCATCCCATGCCTCCCAGGCTGTGTCAGCAGGCAGACAGCTGTCCCTGGGGAGAGCGAGAGCTGCAGGGAGGCCCCTGTCCCTCCTCCCAGGTAGTCCTGCTCCTCTGGTACCTTCGGGGCCACCTTTCATTTACTAAGTCCTTTCATGCACATCATCTTATTTGAGTCTCACAGTAACCCCTCCGGGCAGATTCTCTTTTTCAGAGGTAGACGCAAAGGCTCAGAGAGGTTAAGCCGCTTGCCACAGGTCACAGAGCTAGAAGTAGCAGGCAGGAGACTGGAACCAGGTCTCCAGACTCCTAGTCTATCCCTCCTTCCACCACACCACCCCGCTTCCCAGGAACACAAGGCCCCTGGGTGGATGCGGTGGCACAAGGGGAGATGAGGAGCAGGGCTGGGCTGGAGGGAGGCAGAGCAAAGATAGAGGGTGAGTAGGCACAGAGAGAGCTGTGGACTGAAAGGAGCCAGGCCTGGGACATTCTGGTCCAAGGAGAAGGAGAGGAGGGCCCCAAGAGAGTGAGGCACAGGGGCAGGTGACTAGAGGCAGCCCTGAAGGATTCAAGTCTGGAGGCAGAAGCTCTAGGAGCTGGGGGCAGGCGTTAAGCCCTGGAGACGGTCCATGTGGAGGAAGCAGGGCCACCTCCTTTCCAGCTCCTTTACCTAAAATTAGAGAAAAGGACAGGAGGTGGCTCAGGAGCTGTGTAGGGCCAAGACTATGGGGGATGCTGCTAGGGGCTTCTGGAAGGGCCTTCATACTAAGTTCCCTAGGCCCTGCCCCAGAGGCCCCAGCCCTGGCTTCCAAGCTACCCCTACCCAGAGTACCTGCTCCTCTTCTCTAAAATTCAGAAGGCTAATTGAAGCATTAATGACCACAGTGAAAACAGTCATAAGTGGTATTTTTGGTAACACTTACAGGATGCTTATGAGGTGCCACTAGCTCCATCAGCCCCCACCCAGCCCCACAGGGGCTAAGACCTCAAAGCCCAAAGCTGAGGCTCCCTCAATTCCTGGTCTCCTTCCCTCAACATTCCAGCATGCCCCTCTCATCTGCAGCTGACCCACCCTGGGAACAGCCCCTAACCTTCCCCAGTCCCCAGGCCTCTTGTCTGGTCCCACTCTCCCTTGCTTCTCTGTGTCTCGAGGGATGGCTCCCTTCACAGATGCTGTCATCGCCGACAACCAGCTCTCGCCCGCAGCTGATTGTGCCTAGGACTTTGGGGGTGTCAAGCAGGGACCAGAGATCACTCCCTACCTCTGACCAGGACTTGCTTTTTCACCAGCCTACGGTGCTAGGAGGCAGCACAGCACAAAATGGACTTGGGTAGCTGCTCAGAGGGAAGTCCCAGCTCCATCGTTTCCTCGGTGTGTGACCTTGAGCAAATCACTAGCCTCTCTGAGCCTTAGTTTACTCATCAGCAGACTGGGAACAGTGATGATAATTGAACTGAAGGCGTGAGTTTTTTCATGAGGATTATAAATGCTTAGCCCAGTGCCTGATGCATAGAGCAAGTACTTATATAAGTAAGCCAGTCCTCGCGGAGTAAGTGTTAGCCTTTATTAGCTTTGGTATTATTCTCTCCCCGCTGCATTCCCTGGTCACCTTCTCAGGACAGCAGGGCCGTTGTTCCTGCTGCAGCTTCCCCTGGCTCCCGGGCATCTGGTGACAAGGCGCTGGGAGGGGTCCTGGGGGCTCCAAGGAGGTGTGCCCGCTGACAGCCTCCCCCGCCGCGCTCCCGCAGACTTCCCTGGTGCACCTGCTGAAGACCGTGCGGCTGCTGCGGCTGCTGCGGCTGCTGCAGAAGCTGGAGCGCTACTCACAGTGCAGCGCTGTGGTGCTCACGCTGCTCATGTCCGTCTTCGCACTCCTCGCCCACTGGATGGCCTGTGTCTGGTACGTCATCGGCCGCCGGGAGATGGAGGCCAATGACCCGCTGCTCTGGGACATCGGTGAGCCAGGCTTCCACTGACACCCATCTGCCTGCCCCGTCCACACAGACCCCCAAGTGGATGCCTCCCCCGGCACCACCCCCACCAGCCCACGTTCTTCCCTCCATCCAACAAACGTGCATTGAGCTCCTTCCCGGTCAGGCGTGGGAGTAATGAGTTGAAGACCAGGGGTGGGACTGGGTGACCTCACAGCCTAGCAGGGGAGCCAGACCAGTGACAGGCAATCAAAACAGTACAGGAAACACTCTGAGGGTGAGGAGGGTGTTTGGGGCAGAGGGAGCAGTACCCTGCCTGGACCCGGTCAGGGGCTCCGCACTGCCCTCAAAATCAAGTCCGCACTTGGTCCACACCCTGCATAGCCCTGCAGGCTTCTCTCTCCCCACCTGGCTTCCCTTTCTCCCTTGCGCCCTCTGCTGCGGCCACACCGGCCTCCTCCCACCCCCTGGGCTGTACTGCTTTCTCACAATGGCCTTGAACATGTGTTCCTCTCAGGAATCCTCTCCCTCCCTCCTTCCCCTAGGTGACTTTTCTATTCCTTGCAATCTCCACTAAAACCCTCTGTCCTAAGGGAGCCCTTCAGGAACCATACCCCCCCCCCCAACTGGGTTGGCTCTCCCTAACCCATTATGGCTCCTGGACGCCCTATACTTCCCTTTGAGTAGCTCACTGTCCACCTGCAATTTATTTCATGGGTCTTTCCCCTCCAGACTCTTAAGTTTCACCAGGGCAGGGAGAATGTCTGGCGGGTCAAGTGCCTGCACCCTGTACACAAGGGGTGCTCAATAAGCTATTAGAGAGCCCCCACTTCAAACAGTCAGCAGCTCAGCAGCTTAGCCTTGGTTACTGCAACTGTAACCAGTTCACTGTGGGGAGTCCCAGGCCCAGGCTGCTCCTCACATTTCCTGTGCCTGCGGGTGCAAACCTCCCCTCGCCTCTGTAAATACTTGCCCAAGGTCAAGCGCAGGCAGCTCACGGAAAGCCAGCTTCCCCCCCCCACCCCCCACCCGCCCAAGTGCAGCTGCTCCTTGCCTCCCTCACCCCCCAGGCTGGTTGCATGAGCTGGGCAAGCGGCTGGAGGAGCCCTACGTCAATGGCTCGGCGGGCGGCCCGTCGCGACGCAGCGCCTACATCGCTGCCCTCTACTTCACGCTGAGCAGCCTCACCAGCGTGGGCTTCGGCAACGTGTGTGCCAACACCGACGCGGAGAAGATCTTCTCCATCTGCACCATGCTCATAGGCGGTGAGGCCGGGCCTGCCAAGCCCCGGGGTGGCCCTGCTAAGCCCAGCGTGCAGCTGGGGAAACGGGCTCAGAGAAGGCAAGCTGTCCACCCACGTCCAGACAGTCGCGCATTCATTCATTCATAGCCGTTTCCTCAGCACCTACTACATGCTGGCCCTGGGGGGCATGCCACACAAAAGGCGTAGCCTCTTGCGAAGGGGATGGGAAACCCAAGTTCATGACCTGGTGTTGGGGGGGAGGGGCAGGAGAGGAGCATCAGGTCTGGCCCCTCCCTGCCCCCCCAACCCAAGCCTACTGGCTCTCCTGCCCCTCCTTCCCCGGGAACCCAGAGCCGCGGAGGGCGCGGGAGGAGGCGGAGGGGGGGCCGCCCCTCACGGGCTGCCCGCTGCCGCCGCTGCAGCGCTGATGCACGCCGTGGTGTTCGGCAACGTGACGGCCATCATCCAGCGCATGTACTCGCGCCGCTCGCTCTACCACAGCCGCATGAAGGACCTCAAGGACTTCATCCGCGTGCACCGCCTGCCGCGGCCGCTCAAGCAGCGCATGCTCGAATCCTTCCAGACCACGTGGGCCGTCAACAGCGGCATCGACGCCAACGAGGTAGTGCGCGGGGCTCCCGCGGTGGGGAAGGAGTGGCCGCCGGCGGGGGCGCGCACCCACCCAAATCTGCGTCCCTTCCCCTTTGCGCTAGAATACGGGAGCTGAAAGGGAGCTCAGGCCTCAGTCCGCATTTCCTGAGCACTTGCTTTGGGCCAGCCTCTGTGCTGGACACAGGGAGTTCAGAGATGATGACACTCAGCCCTTGTCCTCAGGGAGACACCAGCTGGGTGAGGGAGGCGGGCAGGTAAAAAAAAAAAAAATTACGCAGTGATTGGGACTCTGCTGGAGGGAGGCCTGGAGGAGTCAGGGAAGGTGGCACAGAAGAGGGGACGTTGTGAAGGGCAAGAAGGAAATCAGCCTGCTACCAGAGGCCATTCCAGGCAGAAAGAGCATCAGGAACAGAGGTCCGGAAACGTTGACGTAAAAGAGCAGGGCGAGTTCAGGGAACTGAAAGTCCTTCAGTGAGCCTTCAGGAACGGGTGTGTGAGTGAGTGCTGTGGAGGGAGGAGGGAGATCCGAGTGCAAGAGACAGGGCTGGGGAGGCGGGCCAGCTCAGCTCATGGACGATCTTGAATTTATAGATTTTATCCTGCAAAACTTTTAGGCTGGTGAGTGGCCTGGGGCTCTAGGAGGTGTTTCTGAGAATAGGAGCCATGGGACCCGGTGCTCAGCTGGTTGCAGGAGAGGAGCTCAGAATGAGTCCCAGGTTCCTGGTTTGGGCAAAGGGGTGTGATGGAGGCATCGCAGGAGGAAAGTTGGACTTCGGGGTGAAAATGACCAGGATGAGGGTGTGGTGCTTGTGGGAGATCCAGGTGGAAGCTGCTCCATAGGTAGATGAAAACACAGGTCTAGATCCATATGCAGGGCTCCGGGCTCACCAGGAGTAGGGAAGTCATGGAGCTGGTTGCCATGATGCAGGAAGAGTATGGAAAGTTACAAGAGGAGCCTGGGGAGGAAATGGGGGAGAGGGAGAGGTGAGCAAGCCAGGGTGGTCTAGGGGCTCCATAAGATGAGATTGGCTCTGTGAACGTTAAGTTTGGTTCCTTGAAAGTCATTGGTAATGTTCAAGGCCTAGTGTAACCCTGCATCTTTCCAGATGAGGATACAGAGGCCCAGAGAAAGCAAATGGATTGCCCAAGGTCCACAGGGATTTAGGGGCAGAGCTGACTTCTACTTTCCTGCCTCTTGCTTGAGAGGCTGACCCACCAGGGCTGGTCCTTGTGTGGGGTTGAGCAACCAGGACATGTGAGTGACCACTGCACATGGTCATGGGCAGTGGACAGACAAGAAGAGACCTAGTCTCTACTCCAGAACTTGGGTTGGGAGGTCCACACACAAGCAAAATTGAGGTTTGACACACACGGGTCTTCCTGAAGGTCAGAAAGGGGTCACTTCGAGGCAAAGGGCAAGTTGGAGATCTCCCCTTGGAGACAGCTCAGCACATTTGTAGAACTCAAGTAGCAGCTGTAGGGGGACGGCTAGAATGACCTATGCCCCTTATGCAGTTACTGCGTGACTTCCCAGACGAGCTGAGAGCTGACATCGCTATGCACCTGAATCGGGAGATCCTGCAGCTGCCGCTGTTTGGAGCGGCGAGCAGGGGCTGCCTGCGGGCCCTCTCCCTGCACATCAAGACCTCGTTCTGCGCTCCAGGCGAGTACCTGTTGCGCCGTGGGGATGCCCTGCAGGCACACTACTACGTCTGCTCCGGCTCGCTTGAGGTGCTTCGAGACAACATGGTGCTGGCCATCCTGGGTGAGGATCCCACCACCACCTACTATCTACCCCGGAACCTTGCCCCAGAGGCCTTCAGTGTGGCCAGGAATCGAGGGACTGGGATACCCCTAGTGGATATGTGGAATTCCTGCTGAGGAGTCCTCTTTCCTGGTCCCCTCACCCTACTACCATCCCCTTTCCACCATACCCTCGGACTCTCCCCTAATCCCATTGACCATCAACCCTCCCCCAGTGACTCTCCCCCAACTCAATTGGTCCTTTCCCACTGCACCATCTCCCAACTCCATTGACCCTTCCCCTTGACCCTCAACTCCATTGACCTTTATCCTTTAACTGATCCCTCTGGCCATTCTTTACTGATCATCCAATTCCATTGGTTATACTGACATCCCCCATTGACTGTCTCCCAACCTCATCTGTCATTCTCACTGACTTTTTCCCAACGCCATTGATTATTTCCACCAGTCCTGTTGATTGGCCCATCTTCGACCACACTCCAAGCACACTGACCACCCGGCAAATCCATTGACCGCCTCTCACTGATACCCTTGTGGTCCCTCTGCCCCAGCTGACTGTCCGCATCCCTTACCCACAGGGAAGGGGGACCTGATTGGGGCAGATATCCCTGAGCCGGGGCAGGAGCCTGGGTCCGGGGCAGGCCCAAGCTGCGTGCTGAAGACCAGCGCTGACGTGAAGGCACTGACCTACTGTGGCCTGCAGCAGCTGAGCAGCCGAGGGCTGGCTGAGGTCCTGAGGCTCTATCCTGAGTACGGGGCTGCCTTCCGGGCTGGCCTGCCCCGGGACCTCACCTTCAACCTGCGCCAGGGCTCTGACACCAATGTATGTAGACCCCCTATGGCCTCCATCTCCTCTAAGGTCCCCGCCTTCAGAGCAGAACCGCCCCCCCGCCCCTGCAGCCCGAGAGAGAGCCTCACGCATCTCCTTCCACCCTGACAAAATCGTTTCTCAATCCCAGGCACCCCCTTCCATTGTCCCTTCCATGCTTGACATCTTCCATCCCTACCTGACCCTTCTCCATTGGCCATCACCCAAGCCCATGGACCATCTCTCACCACTTGTACTTCCAACTCCTCTGACCCATCATGTCCTGTCAGCCACCCCTCAGCCTCACTCCAGACTCCTCAGAGGGCCCTCACTTTGGAAACAGTCCCCCTCGTGGGCTCCTCCTCTGTCAAGTCTCTCTCTGAACTGGGGCATCATCCCCTGGGCTTCCTCTTCTGCACTCACCAAATATGTCCTGAGCCCATTTTGGCTTAGACTCTGGGCCTTTGTCTTTCACTGCTTTTCGGATTGACTTTGCCACTCAGATGTCTCTGAGTTGGAGGTGGAGTTGGAGGGATCTCTGACTCAGTTCCACAGAAAGGACCCCATTCTCAAAGCCCACAGCTTTGATGGGTAGGACTAGGAAGTGCTGCAGCAGGGGAGGGGGGAGGTGTGAGTCACCTCGAACCCCCCTGTGTCCCCACAGGGCCTCAGCCGCTTTTCCCGGTCTCCTCGCCTTTCCCAGGTAACACCACCTTCCTGGGTAGGGTTGAGGTTACATGGGGGAGAGTCTGGGAGCTGGGGGCACCTTTGCTTGGCTCCTTTGCTGCGGGAGAAGGGAGGGGGATGGCGAGCAGCATCTGCCAGTGAAGGCTGTAGCTTAATGAAGGGGCCTATTGTTCACTGTCCTGACATCAGCCGCCCTCTGCCCACAGCCCCGCTCGGAAAGCCTCGGCTCCTCCTCAGACAAGACCCTGCCATCCATCACAGAGGCTGAGACTGGGGTGGAGTCTGGGGGTGGTTCTAGGCCCCGCCGGCCCCTCCTGCTGCCCAACCTCAGCCCAGCACGACCCCGGGGCTCCCTGGTCAGCCTCTTGGGCGAGGAGCTGCCCCCATTCTCAGCCCTTGTCTCCTCCCCTTCCCTGTCCCCAACCCCTTCCCCTGCCTTGGCTGGCCGGGGTCACAGCCCCTCCCCTCATGGCCCCCCCAGGGGCTCTGCTGCCTGGAAGCTCCCCCAGCTTCTCATTCCCCCACTGGGAACCTTTGGACCTCCGGACCTCAGTCCCCGGTGAGACGCCAGCCTCCCCTGCCTTCCCCATACCCCTGCTGGCTTCTAGAACCTTCTCTGGGCTCTGTCCCCAGCATTCCAACCAGTGCTCATCCAGTGCCCGTCCTGTCTCTGCCCCGTCTGCCCATCCGCCCTTCCTGATCCACCATACTTGCAACCCCACCCCCCTTTGACCGCCGCTCCTCCCCATCTCCCTGGCACTGCTGTCCCCGGTTACCCTCTGCCTGCTCTGCTCTGGCCCTTGCCCTCTCCCCATGGGACTGATGATCACTGCCCCCATCCCAGGATAGTGGATGGCATCGAGGACTCTGGCAGCACAGCGGAGGCCCCTACATTTCGATTCAGCAGGAGGCCTGAGCACCCTAGGCCCTGCTCACAGGCCCCTCCTTCAGGTAAGGGCCAGCCACAGACTTCACCTCTCAGTCATCCATTCATGCGCCATCCACCCATCCCTTCAGCCATCCATTCCACATGTAGTAAGGGCTGACCGTGTGCTGGGCTCTGTGCTGGGCGTTCACAGATAAACCAGACCTGGCCTACATCGTTAGTGAGCTCCCAATCCAGTGGGGGACACAACTGTGTCCTGGGATAAATGATTCCAGAACAGGGTGTTAAGTGAGACAGGAACTGAGAAGGAACAAGGCTTTGAGGTACAAGAGGAGGGCACCCCTAACACTCCTTCTTAGAGGAGGGGACACTTGTGCTGGGTCTTAAAGGCTGGGCAGGAGTTTGAGGGGTGGAGCAAGGCAGTTGCCGGAAGCCATAAAGGCAGGAGAGAAGAGCATATTTTGTTTAGGTGCTAAAGAGAAGCTTCTGCATATAGAGCTGGGGCAGAGGTAGAGGGAAGGGGGCAGGGAAAGTTATAGGGCCTTGAAACCAGCTTGAAGAATCTGGGTTTCCCGTCATCTTGATCCCAGAGCTCCCTCTCCCCTTGTTCTCTGCCTGCCCAGCAACAAGAAGGGACCCAGACCAGGCTGTGGACTCCTGCCCCCCACATTCACCCTGCATCCCTTCACCCCATTCTGCCTGCAGGGACCAGGCCCAGCCAGGAACTGGCCACGGAGGCTGAGGAGATGAAGGAAAAGGTCTGCAGGCTGAACCAGGAGGTGGGTGGGGGCTGGCTCCTCCCCTCCAACCTTGGAAAATACCATCTTGGGAGATGTGCCTCATAGAAGAGCATTTCAGGGTTTAGACCCAGAGTCCTGAGTTCACATATTCACACTAGCTGGGTGACCTTGCGCAAGTCCCACAACGACCCTGAACTTCAATTTCCTCGTTTAAAAATGGGGAAAAGAATATGTTTTTTGCCAGAGTCGTTGAGGATGAGGTAAGAGCGCACCCATGCCTGGCCAGTCCCTGGCCCACTGTAAGCACTCAGTGACCCCTTCTGCTCCTTCCCAGCTGCTTCAGGTCCTCCCGCCTGTGAAGAGTGCCTCTCCTCCCTCCACCACCGTGGGGTTCTCTCCTTTAGGGACCTGCCCCCTACCAAGTCCTTTTCTTCACCCCAGCCCTGGGAAGTGGATGCTCAGCGAATGTAGCGGGCAGAGGACGCGGGAGGGGGGGAGGCCTTCAGCCCTGGGAGAGCTGGATCCTAGTGTCTGAACCCTGGTCAGGAAGAGCCCAGATCTTACATGGCAAGGCTCTGCCTGTGCCTCCTCCCCGGGGATCTCTGAGCTGTCACCAGGGCACTTTGTCAAGCCCAGCCCTTTGGGAATGGGCCTTCCCTGGGTTCTGATAAACATCAGAGGCATCCCAGGAGGGCAGCCCCTGGGCTGGGCGGGCCTTGGGGATGGGGGCAGGACCAGGCCCCAGTTTAGCCAGCTGGAGGGCCAGTCCCACTTGGGTCACAGTTCTAGGCTTGGTGATTCCCACACTTGAGTGTCTGCCGGCACCATTAAGATGGGGACTCCTGAGCCTCACCCAATTTGGAATGTCTGGGGTGGGGCCCAGGAATCTGCATTTTGACAAGTTTCTCAGTTGATTCTGTAATCCCTGAAATTTGCAAAGCCCTGAATAGACACACTTGAGCGTGTGTGTTGGGATCACCTGAGACTAAGCCTGGGTCTGTCACCTCCAGCTTTGTGGCCTCTTCGAGGCCCATTTTTCTGCCTCTTATAAAAGTTGGGGAGGAGGGTGTTGCAATAGTCACAGTCCCAAATCCTTTCTGGAAAGAGGCTGAGTGTTTACATCTTGACAAAGATAACCCCTGCTCTGCGCTGCCTTTTTCTCAGGCTGGGAAAGAGTTTTGTAAACTGTGTATGGGGGGTGCATCTAGGAGAGTGGTAGTTGTTGTGACACCTGGGGAACAATTTGTTATGTTTTCAACAGATCTCCCGTCTCAATCAGGAAGTGTCTCAGCTGAGCCGGGAGCTTCGACATATCATGGGCCTGCTACAGGCCAGGCTGGGTCCCCCGGGCCACGCAGTAGCCTCAGCTCGGCCCCCAGAGCCTCCTGGTCCCCAGCTGAGGCCTCCATGCATCTCTCCCTGTCTATCTGGACCACTGCCCAGCCTCCAGGATACTACTCTCGCTGAGGTCCACTGCCCGGCCAGTGTGGGGACAGCAGAGATGGGGGCCACACCCCCCAACCTGAGACCCTCCGTGCTATCCCCCTATTCCTCAGAGCCTGAGTCTCTGGGACCCTCCCCAGTGCCAGAGGCCTCACCTCCAACCCCAAGCCTCATGCGGCAGAGCTTTCGGTCCAGGCCAGACACGTTCCACTGACCCAGGTCCTGGGCCCAGGCCTGTCTGGGGTGGGCACTGCTGCCTGCCCTCCAGGGAGGGGCTGGGCCCCTTGGCCTCCTGCCTTGGGTCAGCAGCCACTAGCTGGTCTGGTTGGCTCTGCATTCTCTGGACTTTTTTACAAAGCCTGGTCACTTCTGACCCTGTTCCCTTTTCCAAACCTTCCCCTGTCCTTCCCCTCTGTGAGGGGAGCCACCTGAGGCTGTGGAACCCAACAGGCATGAGACGGAATGCAGTGCCGATTAGGCCGGGCAGATGACATGTCCTGCTTTCTCCCCAGGACCCGGAGGCAGGTAGATATGGGGGAGCATCGGGGGCTTGGGGAGGGTCCCAGATCCAGAGGCAAGAGCAGGCAGGATCTTGGTGTCTAAGACAAGAGGGACAGATTGCAGATTCCACTGCACAGATAGCTTCGTGATATCGTGAGGCCTTCTGTCCCAGCCCCCCGTCCCCCGGGCTCTGCTGGAGACCTTGGAAGCAATGTCATCTTGAGAGGGATGAGGTTTGAGATGGCTGGCATCTGAGCAACCCAAGACTCCTTAGACCTCCCACTACCAGCCGGGGCTGGAGGGGCTCACCTCATCTCTCAGCCCACACAGGAAACAGATGATGACCCCCCAGATATGTATTCTTCTGTTCTCATGGCTTTTTTTTTTTTTTTT